AATTTGGGACACTGCCGAGTTACATGACGTTACAGTACAAGTTCTCATATGTCCTGAGTCTTAATTGACCTTGGAAGGCTAGGGCCAAAATGTTGGTTTTCCTTGCGGCCCTCCTTTTTCTCTAATTTTGGTCTGCAAACTTAGGTTGTTAACCGTCCGGAAGCCAAGCTTATTGTTATTACCATACAACCTAAGGTAACATGTAAAAGAGATATTGTCACACGTGCTCCAGCACAGATGAGGAGACCATGCTCAATGAACTAAGCCAGTCACCAAGTCACCAAGGAATGAACATTGTGTGATTCCACTTATATGAGGTACCCAGAACAGTCAAATTCATGGAGATAGAAAGTAGGATGGCTGTTGCTGGGGGCTGGAAGAAGGGAGCTGGAAAGTTACTGTTTAAGGTATACAGTGTTTCAGTTTTGCAAGATGAAAGGATTTTGGAGATCAATGCTGCTGCTTGTTCTACAGCACCATCAATGTGCTTAATACCAATGAGCTGTACGGAAAAAAAAAAAAGGCCAGGGAGATGGCTCAGTAGAATAATCGCTTCCCTGGAAGCGGAAGGGCCTGAGTTCAATCCCTGGTTCCACAAAAAACAAAAACAAAACAGTAGATGGAGTCTAGTGCAGTGGCTTACTGCTCTCCCATGGCTGAGGCGGGAAGGTCGCTTCCAGTTAAGGCTATCCTGGGCTACCTAGCAAATTCAGGAGCAGCTAAGCTACACAGTGAGACACTGTCTCAAAAGAAAAAAAGTGGCAGGTGGAAAATTCCATGTTATGTGTATTGTGTACTTTATCTCAGTGGAAAAGTGAAAGTAAGTTACAAAAAGCTATTATCAGAGGATTTTTCAGAACGATGAAAGACACCAACCAGCAAATTCAGACATCCGAAAGAATTCAAGGCAGGATAAATAAAAAGATACATCACGGCAGAACTGCAGAACCCAAACATAGACAATACAGATATGCACTGAGGGAATGAAGATGAGATTGTTGTCTGACACCTGCAAAGTAAACCCCGGGAGAAGGGACAGGGGACAGTGTCTCCCTCATTGTGGAGAGAGAATGAATCATTAACTAGTGAGCCAGCCGCGGCATCTTTCAGAACAAGGGTGAAAGGGGGTCCATTTACAGCCAACAAAGACTGAGATATTTCATACCAGCAAATTTTCCCAAAAGTAAGATGTAAAGAATGTACCTTGGATATAAGGAGAGCGGATCAAGAAATTGGTCGCTGTGCTGACTGCATAAAACAATTTAGTAATGTATTATCAAGTTGAAATGGAAACTACTAACCATGCAAGATATTATAATTAAGGAATATAATCGTAGGAATAGATGATCAGAGTGAAGATACTTCAACATTCTTATACTTTAAGGGAGCAGAGTAAAGAAATTTTAGAAATTTTCTCTCTCTCTCTCTCTCTCTCTCTCTCTCTCTCTCTCTCTCTCTCTGAAACAGGGTCTTGCCATATAGTTGAGGCTGGCCTTGACCTGACTATATCGCAGCTGACCTCAAATTCACTTTCATCTTCTCATCTCAGCCTCCTGAGTGCTGGGATTACAGCTGTGTGCCACCATGCCCAGCTCAAAATTGGACTTTCATAAGACAAGTACTTAACAGAAAATTTTAAGGCAACCATTAAGATAATACACACACAATGTGTGAAGAGAAAGATTGAGTGTGAAAAATGAACCCTAAAGAAGAAAGGTGAGAAAAAGAAAAACAGGCACGACGCATACAAATAACAATATAGGATGGAAAAAAAATCCGGAGATATTGGTAAATATAGTAAATATAAATGGACTAAATGCTTCACTTAAAAGACAAAGATTATCCAATCAAAACTTTATGAAAAATTTCAAGTATACAGAAAAGTGGGAATAATATGAAAAGTGTCTATATTCCGGCCTCATGGAGTCAACCACTGTGAACAACTCACGGTATTTGTTTCACGTATATCTGTGCACAGGAACATATTAAGAAGGCCTATTTTTGTGGCAAATGCCATAAAACAAAATACTACTTCAACGGTGATGATGTAGAGTTATCTTATTTTTGAGGTTAATCAGAACTCGGTTTTCAGCAATTATTAAACATGTTGTTGACTTTTGTGGTTATTTATTCAAAGACTGTCTCTTCACTCAATGCTAGCAAGAGGGTGGGAGTAAGGTCAAGTTTCCAGATCATTGCATCCTGAAGCATCGGTTGCATAAATAAATGGCGTCTACCAGTGCTCGTTGCGTAGTGAACATTTCCTGTGAAGCCACTTTTATTTATGACAGCTGTTTGTTATTGAAAGCATTGAGCAGAATGGTAAAAAAAAAAGCAAATAATAATTGGTAGTTTGCTATAACTGTAATTATTATTTCTCATCTGTTAGTGTCTAGTACGTACATTCACCCCATAAACAGTTTATAGTAAGTACTTGCATTATTATTTAAAGTCTCTAACAGTGCCTGGCACTAAATGGGCAAGAGAGAGTGTAAGTTTATACTTGTTAATTTTTATTACAGTGCAAACCATCTAACACAGCGCGAGTCAGGTGGGCCCTTAAAAGTTCCTGCGGACCTCTGCGTCGTCGCGAGCACCCAGCACCCGCCCCAGACCTCGCGAAGCCGCGCCCCTCGGCTCGCAGCCCCGCCCCACGGCCTGGATGCGCCTGCGCACTGCCCGGGAGGGGCTCCGCGCGCAGCCTCCCTCCTGGCCCTGGAGCCGGCGTAGGGCGCCGCTTCCCGCCGCCCGGGCCGGCCAGCTGCTGCGTGCGTGCGTGCGTCGCTGCGTGCGTGCGTGCGTGCCGTGAGCTCGCCGGGCACCGCGGCCTCGCCTCGCCCTCCGCCCCTCCGCCTGCAGCGCGTAGGCCACCCCCCCCCCCCGCGCGCGCCCCGCCGCCGACCCCGGCCCGCGCCGCCCTCCCGCCTCGCGGTAGAATTTAAAGGGGGCGCAGCATTTCCGCTCTGCTCAGGTGACCTTCCGCTCGCCTAAGGTGCCCCGCCGCCGCCGAGGAACATGGCGAAGGTGGAGCAGGTCCTGAGCCTCGAGCCGCAGCACGAGCTCAAGTTCCGAGGTAAGCCCAGGAGGCCTGCCGTCTTCAGCCAACCGACTTTGGCCAGGTTCCGGGCCGGGTCCGGCCGGGCGCCCGCCCGCCGCAGCCCCCACCCGCGGCGGAGCGACAGAGCCCGGCGCCGGGTGACTCCGCGTTCGCCCCCGTCCGACGGCGCGGCCGCCGAGGGCAGTGGGGCTCAGCGCGCCTCGGCGCCGCCCGCACCCCCGAGGGCCACGCGGCCATGTGCGCGCGGGCCTGCGCGTCCTCCCAGCCTCCAGGGGCGCCTCGCCTTCGAGGCACTTGTTACCTTGGCCGCTGGAACTTCCCGACGAGTTTGAGGTTTTCCGTCCCGGAGTACCCACCGGCGGCCTCCAGCCCCTTCAAGGCCTCCCTGCTCTTCACAAAGTCTTACTTAGGTCAGGTGTCGCCTGCCCCAGAGGCCTGCTGGGACTGCCCAGCCCGTCGTGGGCACCCGCTGTCATTCCCCATCACACTGTTTCGCCGTCCCCGTGGTACTTTTCGCTACACCAGAGGCGCTGAGTTTGGACACCAGAAGAGAAACGCACTGAGGACAGGATCCTGCCCCTCCGCCGCATACGCCCAGACCTGTTAGGAGCCTTAGGTGCGGAATGAGTTCGGGAGCGGAACCTCCTGTTCGGATGTTGTTTTCTGTTTTCGTGTCCCATCTTGTCTCCTGAGACTTGCTGCGACTAACTAAACTTTCTATGTTCCTCGTGCGATTCTCAGGGCTGTGCAGTTCAGGGAGGCTACCTCGACTTGGGATACTTTGTATCAGAGCTACTGGAGCTACTGGAGCTAGAGCTAGAGAAAGCCGCGGGAAGAGTGTTTATGGCAATTCAGGGCCCTGATTTTTTTTCCCCACCAGTACTTATCATCTTAATTTGTATCTTTGTGTACTCTTACGAACATATACATGTATGTATAAATATAATATACGTACATGTATATATAATAGGTATGTTATCAATATGCATATATGAATATAATGATTGTGAATACACATATTGAATATGTATATACACATGCATATATGTACATTATATTTTTAATTTTTCCATCTAAATGTAAGGACCATGAAACAACAGGGGCCCTCTCTGGCTTGCTCATTCCTTCTTTTCGCATGTATTGAGTAACTGAAGTGGACACTGGAGAGAGAGTGCTCACCTTCTAACGAGGGGGAAATGAGCTGGGGTACAGGATCAGTGCAGTAGTGGTAAGTGCTGGGAAGGAAATGGACTGACTTGATGGCGATATGCTTCAGTTTGCAGAGCTGGGTAACTACTGGTACCGCCGGTGTGCGGCTCATGGTATGTGCTCACTTGATTTCTGTGCAATGTCTGCTGGCCGGAGGAGCCCCAGCTTATTTATACTGTGGATAAATAATGTAGGGTCACTTGCCTAAAGTTACCCAGTTGGCAAGTGATAACATTTGAACCCAGAACTTCTTATCCATTATATTGTCTAACTCCTGGGAAATGGTCCAAAGAGCTGTGCTTGTCACTTTGTCTCCCAAGTCATCATTGTGAAATAGTTTTGAGTGTTGTAAGAGACCTGTGCCTTTCCAGTTATGGTGAAAACAAAATAGGACCCCCAAAAAATCCACAAAAGTTTAGTTTCCTGATAATACAGAGGGTGCCTCATTACGATGGTTTGACTTTACAGTGGTGTGAAAGTAATATGCATTCAGTTGAAGCTATTTTGAATTTTTTTTTTCTCAGTTCTCATTAAGTACTATGATCCCCATTCTCATGGGGTGGGTTGCAGCTTCCAGTCAGCTGGTCATTAGGAACAACTGACAGTCTGCAATGTACTGTGATGGCTTTTTTTCTTTTTAATGCATTTCATGCGGGGTCTCACTGTGCAGCTTGGACTCGTAGTGATCCTCCTGTTTTCAGCCTCCCAAGCGCTGGGATTACAGGCACGCACCACCATGCCCAGACTTCTGGCCCAGCAGCCCAGGGCCATTGCAGCATGTGGGACGGGGGATCAAATCCTAGTCCCTACACTTTCCAAGGTGCCTAGTCTGCTGAACTATCTCGCTGGCCCTGATGCCTCTTTTTTTGATGTTACGTTTTTCTATACCAGCTTGTCTACAAAGTATCCATCTAAAATTTCCATGTGGGTACCAGAAATATTCAACAAACATATTTAAAATGACAGCACTGTACAGAAGGCTTTGTGTTAAATGATTTCTTGCAGTGGTAGCCAAATGTAAGTGTTTTGAGCATGTTTAAAGTAGATAAGATTATGCTATGATGTTTGGTAAGTTAGGTGCATTAAATACATTTTCTGTTTATGATGTTTTCCATTGTGACAGGTTTATCTGGATATAACCTTGTTTTACGTCAAGGAACATCTGTACCTGAGCTTGTGTAATCTCAGGGGCTACTTCCACAGGAGCAAGGCTGGGGAAGAAATCTAAGTAGCTAAAGTGAATATAGTGAGCATGGTTTTCACTGAAGGTGTCTTGAAGTTCTCTTATCTAAGAGCAAGAGAATGGACTTAAAAATCTGTTCAGTGTGTGTTTGGGGAGGTTGTCTTGGCATCTATGAATTGTCATGTTGATTCATTTAGTCCATAAATATTTACTGAGTTGTTCCATGTGTTGGGTATGAGAATCCAAGTCACATGAGGTGTACTACCACATTTTTCCTTAACTTTCTCCCTAGTACTTTTATGTGTAGGGAAAATTCAGACAGAAAAGCTAGTCAGGACATTGCAGTGGTGTAAGGTAACCCAGAGTGCTTCAGGAACACTATGGAGGTCAGCTTCTGAAAGAGGGTGTCATCTGAGCTGAGTCACAGAGGTCAAATGGAAGCGGGCTAAAATGAGAAATGGGTGGGGAGCGTATCAGGCATGCAAGTTGCATGCACAGGGGCACAGAACTGGGATGCCTGCTTCTTTGGAATGCCACCATAGTTCTGAACAGCAGCAGCAAAGAACTTTTGCTTCTAGAAATGAATCAGAACTTTTAAGGTCCTTCGTGTCTAGACTTGCCAGTTTCTAAGTTAAAATTGTGTTGCAGCTTCTCAAGCAATTCTTTCTTGGATTGTTTCTCTTGAACTCCCAAGCCCCAATATACACTCTACTGTAATGTATTGTTATGAAGGAGTCTTGAGAAAATTCAAGTTTCTGTTCTGTCCCTTCACTTAAAGATGTTTGACCTTGGGCTGCCGCTTCATTCCCCTGAGTCTGGAGTCAGACTTTAGTCGGTGGGGATGACACTCATATCTACCTTGCCTTCTCTAGCAAGTTTTTGCTGTTGTTTAGAAAGGAAATAGTAGGGCCATTCAGCTGCTTTGTAAGCATATACAGGTCTAAACAGGGATTGATGGTTGTATTTAGATAGCTTGTTTATCACTTTAGTTTCATTACCCAAAAAGTATGGCAGTATGATCTCTGTAGCCTTCGCTTGGCCAGAGTAATGATGCTCTTAAGTTACTTGCCAGAGAAACGGTGCAGAAGTTGTGTCAAATTATTGAACACTGTTTATTTATTGAAGCAGGCCTTACTGTGTAACCCAGGCTACCCTTGAATTTATAATCCTCCTGTCTTTGAGTACTGGGATTGCAAGTTTATAGCACTACATCTGGTGCTGTTGCTCCTAACTTTAGAAGAGAAATTTGGAGGCATGTGTAGAAACCCTTTATTTTTAGTTCACTTTTATGAGGTATTTTTGTTTGTTTGTTTGAAGCTGAATGTTGAAGCAGTACACTTAGAATAAAGATTCAATATATATATTTTTTTATTTTATTTTTTTTTCTTTTCAAAGTTTTATTGATAAACATATAGCAATGAGACAGTTTCAAATCAAATCGAAAGTACAGTTTCAACAAAT